GACTGGTGCAAAAATCCTTTTCTCTGCCAGTAAGATTTGCAAAATGATTCAGACAGATAGGTAACACTTAAAAACAACAACAAACGATGGCTGAATTGATACTACCTCTGTTCACCCTTTGTATCATGTTTGGGATGATGAATATCTTGTGTTTTAGTGATCTGTGACTGTTTAAAGATTTTGATTGAATTCCTATATATTAAACACCTACCTCTGGAATTTATTTCCAGTTTTATCAGGGGACTGTCATCAGACTATGACTGTAATCCTATGCATACATAATACTACTGAAAAGTGGGTTCCATCCTCAAGTAAACATACAATGAATCAACCTGCATTTCTAAACACTGTTGACATTTGCAGAGATTAAACATCATATGCCAACTAAGGGCATTTTCAGACTGCCAGAAATAGTGCACATTAAATTGAGGCACTGCCCTGGCTCAGTGCTAGGGAGTCATGGGAATTGTATTTTTTTTTATTTTATTTTATTTTATTTTATTTTTTTTTTTTGAGACATTGAGCCTTCTCTGTCAGAGAGCTCTGGTGCCGCAATAAATTACAGTTCCCATGATTTCCTAGCACTGAGCCAGGGCAGTGCCTCAATTTAATGTGCACTATTTCTGGCAGTCTGCAAAGGCCCTAAACCATCATCAGTATTTTAAAAACTCTCAATTGTTCCTTTAGACATTGATTTAATATTCTTTAAGGTTTTAGAATGTGCTTCATAAATGTTCAAATCCAATATAGGAAAAAGGTTGAAAATTTTACCAGATTTCCATGTGTTCATTACAAATGGTGTGGGAAATGAAATATACACTTTAACTGGCCTGCTTAAATGCCATTCAAACATTTAGTTAGCTAAGTTAACAGTGCAAGCTAAGTTAACAGTGCAATCCTATACCTGTTTATTCTGCAGTTAATCTCACTGACTTCCATGTGGTTTACTCCCCAACAGCAACCTAATTTGAGATTAGCCTCTACCTGGAATCTATGAGATAACAGAGATAAGAAGAGGGGAAAAGTGACTTAAGTTACCAATTATCTCAGCTACTGTGCAATAAACATACACAGCACCTTTAGAAATGTTGGATATAAGGAGGGCAGACTGAGAATAAGAAAAATAGAAAAAACGCACCCAGCTATTTCACTTATGATTATTTTCTACAGATAAATTACTTCTAGTTATCTTTTTCACCCATGTGTGCACAGCAGGAAGCAAAAATAAGTGTGCTTCTTTAATTTATAATTGTTTGCCTGGAAATGGATTGCCAAATGAGGAGCTGGCAAAGGGCTAGAGCAGGGAGAAGAGCCACATAGTCCCCCAGATGCTGCTGGCCTGCAAGGACCAGTTGTCCTAGCCAGCATAGAGAGCTCTGGTGCCACAATAAACTACAATTCCCAGGATTCCCTAGCATTGAGCCAAGGCAGTTAAAGCAGTCTCAAACTGGATTATTTCTGCAGTGTGTTTTGGACCTGAGAAATGTAGCAGGAAGGCTGTCCCTGCATAAGATTACACACAGTCTTCACCACACAATTTTTCAATGGCATTATCAAGGTGAGCCCAAACATTAGAATACCTAGGACAG